CTTACTTTTTGCTGGAAATATCGACTAATCTTTTTTTTTTTTGTATAATAATATACCTTTATGTCAAAAGGGATCAGATCAATATTTTTTTTCTCCTATATACCTAATATCAAGATTTTCGAACTTCAGTTGACCTTTATCCACATATGTATATCGGCCAATGTGCAGCGGTGGATTTATCAGCAGGCATTTTAAGGGGCGACAAATTTTGATCGAAATTTTTTTTTTGATTTTCGGAATAAAAAAAAATTAATATTTGTACAGAGAAGACAAATTGTCAAATTTTACAGGAATTAAAGTATTTTTAATAATACTTTTAATAATAACCCAACGATTACCCTCCCTCCGCCTAACCGACGCGAGGGGCGCAATCCGCATACGTGCGGAATTAACCGAGTCAGAAAAGGTAAGAGAGTTTTTTAAATGTTGAGATCTAAAACTGCTCAGATCTAAAGTTACAATATAATAAATTGTTACATTTTCATTTATTAAGAGAAACAATAAAGTCTTTTTAATTTTGAAAAGTGAGTCAGATAAGTCAAATGTGCTGGAATGAGAATTAAAATCATGACATATACGGCGGAATGGCTCGTTTAGTTCAAAATTTGATCTACCGGATTTTAGCAGTAAAGGTCTAAACTGCCTCGAAAGGCGAACCGGGATATTAAATTTAATTTCAGATAGGAGAAAAGAACTGCAAACAGTTCCATTCAAAAGTTTTACTAAGAATGTTATGCCGAGCATTTCCCTACGACTAGAAAGTGTAGGTAGATTAATAAGTTTTAAACGACTAGTGTATGGAGGTAGACTTACCCTAGCATCCCATGCGCAAAGGCGAAAAAGTAAAATTGTTTTTGAACCGACTCTAACTTGTCAGAATGGATTTGGTAGCTAGGGTTCCATACCACAGAGCCATATTCCAATATAGGTCTAACCAAAGTTGTATAAAGTGTTTTAGTAATATACGGACCTCTAAATTCTTTAGACCAACGTTTAACAAAACTGAGGACAGCTTTTGCTTTCAAGACCATGGTATCAATATGAAGACTGAAATTAAGCTTAGGGTCCATATTAACTCCCAAATCAACATAGTTTAAAACTTGCTCTAGAATATGGTGTTTTATTACATAAGAAGAGGGGTGCACAGATCTACGGAAAAGCACATCGTCTTACATTTATTGAGATTCAATGGCAAATCATTTCTATCACACCATGCAACCAAATTGTTTAAGTCTGTTTGCAACAGACACCTTCCTCAGTTGAAGTATGATTTAAAAAGCTTTACATCGTCAGCGTATAATAAAATTTTGAGAATTCTATTACTGAAGAGATATCGTTAATAAACAACAAGAACAGAATCGGGCCAAGATGACTACCTTGCGGAACACCAGAAGAAACATTAATTGTATCTGAAGGTGTATCCTCAAATATCACTCGTTGTGTTCTATTATAAAGATAGGAAGATACCCATTGAAGAATCTTGGCTGAAAGCCCAGCAGATCAAGTTTATGTATGAGAATCGAGATATTTACTTTATCGAAAGCTTTGCTAAAGTCTGTGTATATAACATCCATATGCTTAGTTCCCTAAAACCCAATGATACATGGTTTACAAATTCAAGTAAGTTTGTTATAGTCGAGTTCCCTTTACGAAATCCATGCTGAGATGAGGAAATTAACGGAGAAATCGAAAAGGTTATATGGTCAGTGATGATAGCTTCAAAAGTTTAGGTATAACTGATAGTTTTGCGATACCTCTATAGTTTTCAATGTTGGATCTAAATCCACTTTCATGCAAAGGGATTATAAATGACTGTTTCCATATTGAAGGAAATCTACCGTGTTTAAGAGAGGAATGAAATATCCTTGTCAAAGGCAAGTAAATATATTTGGCACTATTTTTAGAAGCATGAGGGTATCATGTCTGGGCCATAACTAAAAGATGGTTTTAACTTATTTAAATTAAAAAGGACGTCTTCTTCAGAAATAACTGGAGCGTTAATTAAAGTATTCGAACACAGCACTTGCTGATAAGAAAAAGTTGTGGAAGAATTATTACAGTATTTGACTTGAAAATTCTGCAAACATATTGGATATAATATCATTGTCACTTGAAATGATAGATTTGTATTTCATTGCGGACGGAAATTTGGAAATCCGGCGTTTGGAGTTGAGAAATCATAAAACGATTTTGGATTACTTACAATATTTTTTCCCTTTATTTAAGTAATTATTATAACATTTTTTGTTTAGGTCAAAATATTGTCGACGCAATAGAGAATATTTAGAATAGTCGACAAGTGAACCGGTTTTTTTAAATGTTTAAAGGCTCGAGTTTTTCTGTTTTTCAATTTATATAACTCTTTCGAAAACCACGGATTTATACTTTTGCTTTTATTAACAATTACTATTGGAACATACTTTTCAAATAATTTCATAATAATGTTATTAAAATGAGAGACACTCAATTCAATGTCACCATTATAATTAGCCATGTTATTGTAGAAAGTTCTGTATTTAACTTTTTAAAATTAGCTTTGCAAAGTTAAACAAGTTAGTACAGAAGCACAAAGTTTGATGATTATATCCCTACAATGCCTGAGATTTCGACTGATATTTCCAAAGCAGGATGATATGAGTCTCTGGTAGAACAAGAGGATTACTCTGAATAACGGAACACTTTGCAGAGGTATCAACGTATACTAAATCTAAGCATTTACCAAATTTATTCGGAATCAAATTAATTTGGTTCAGACTCAACTCGGACACTTTTTCGAAAAACTCATTAAAACATGACCGATTGCAAATCGGCACGATATAGTCATCGAAAGGTTTCCACGAAGCACACGGTAAATTGAAATCACCTAATACAATTATTGAATCTGCATTATTTGCCATCGAGGTAGCACTATTTATTAAAGAAGCATGCTGCATGTATACAGCTAAGTCCGAATGGGGTGGTATATAAGATAGGGTTAAATAAATAAAGCAACTATTAACGTATACTCTAATACATTTAAATTCAAATGAGTCGGTCCCTGAAACAAGAATATTTTCAGATGGGATAGAAGAATGCACGGCAAATAGAACACCTCCACCGATTCTGTTCAGTCGATCACATCTAAAAATTTGAAATTCGCTGTTTAAAATCTCATTATCAAAAATGTGAGGTTTTAACCAAGTTTCTGTAAATCCAATTATATGGAAATTAAAATTGGAACTGTTCAAATACAGGTCAGTTAATTCTGTACTAAGCCCTCTAACATTTTGATAATAAATGCTTAGCGAATTTCTACCCTATAGAGAGATTTATTAGGTCATTGGGAGGAGCCGTTCTTTTCTGAACAGAAGAACTAAGTGTTACTTCATCGGAAGGACGTTTACGCTTAGGAGCAGGTTTAGAGGATTCGTGAGAATCATTCAGGCACTTAAAAGATTTGAACAATTTTTCATAGTGCCTAAATTTTTCAGTGAGGGTTACAAGATCACGACCGATTTCGTTAAAGCCATTCAGTGTCTCCCTATAAACTTTAAATAGATCGATTTCAATAGATCTACAATTTAAACAGGACCAACGCAATCCCTTACAGTCGATAATAGAATCTAAGATTCTACCAGTCAGTCCAGCACATTTAATATGGGCAAGCCCATCACAAAGCCAGCATGAAACGTAGCGATCTGACTCTCCTTTAATGTTACAATTGGGGAAGTTACAAGACATAATAAACCACAAGAATGAAAATCACATTAAAGAGTAGGTAGAACAAAATTTAATAGATAAATAATAAATTAGTGTGTTAATAAAATATTAATAATAATAAATTCAATTAAGAACAATTTTTTTTTATCAAAGTTTAAAACCAAGACAATTTAAAGAAGCAATATAGCGAGCAGTTTTAATGGCACTGTAACAAATAAAAAGCTAAACGCAACACAGCTGTGAATAAAGAAGTAAATAAGATAAACAAAGTGAGAAAATAGAATAAATCAAAAGAATAAAACAAAATGAAACAAAAGGCTGACTCGGCACCAAAAATTGGAAAGTTTAAACTTTTTAATACTTTTCAATACCGCACAAAACAGAACATTTAATACTTATCATGAAACTGAGAGTTTAATCACTAAAAATTTGTATTAGCACGGTAATAAAAATCAATTAAACTTCAAGAATTTTTTAAAATAAAAACACAAATGTACACAGCTAAAAAATTACAGCTTAAGAGCTTGAAGCGTTGCCACCTACTTTAACAAAACAAAAACAAAAAAATATACAGTACTCCAGACAACATAGTAAATACTTTAACGTCTATTTATGAACAGTTGCAAAACGCTTTATAAAATATACTTGAATCATTATGAACTTTCAGAATATCGCAGCAGTGATACGATATTTGCATTGAAATTAAGATACTTTTACATATTTTTTTCACTAATAATTACTATGAGTTTTCCTCTATGCACAGGGAAAAAACGATTTACTTGAATCAAATAAAAAATTGTCTTCCAATTCCTTTTCTTGATCGAAGTAAACCTTTTTTCCTTGATTCAAGTATATTTTCTTGTCCTGAGAAATTTTACATTCTTGCTCTAATAAACTTGTGTAAATTATTCTTATTTCAAATATATTTTTGCGTTGGCTCAAGAATTTTTGTCGGAAGAAAATAAAATTTTTAATTTTCAAAAATATTATGTTTTTGGCTTTCAGAAGTTACTCTTGAAAAGAATTTAACGTCCGTCGGGATCGAACCCACGATATTCTCTGTATGAAGCAGAGTCGCACGCCACTGCTCTAAATCGTTAATGCTCAGTGATGTGTTTTTTTCATCTACATAAAAACACTTCCACTTTCACTTTTAGAGTTTGGGGTGGGGGACTACTTAAAGATCAAGAAAGGAATTTTTGTCACAAGAATTTTTTCTTGGTTATAGGGTAATCTTACTTATATATATTTAATTGACAAATTATCGAATAAAATTTCAAAAAGTTCTTTTTTATTCGTAAAAAATATTGATTAATCTTTTTTTTATGTAGAATCAGTTTGATATGTGGACAATTGCTATTTGACAAAGTGAAACGAAACTCTATAAAAAATGAAGTTAGGCAGTTCGGTAATTAGAAAATCGGTACATTTTTCTGCTTAACTATTTATTTGTACTATATTGTCGCGTAGTCGTAGATGGGTTAGAACGCCAAAACAAATGACATGACCGTGCAGTAATTAAAAAGTGACAGGTCGTATGGTATCACGAGTGCGGCGCAATAGGGTTACGGCGTTAGTGGAAGCGAGATTCCTTTGTATATATAGCGACTACCTTAATATTGTTCTGAATTCTTATAATCTGGTAACACGGAATTCAGCAACTAAATTATTGTACTTATTCCTTTGAACATGGCAATACCGAATTCAGCAACTAAATTATATTATCCCGTTATCCCCGTAAGTAAATAATTGTAATGTTTACGATAAATCCCCCGTAGCGAAACAGTAAATTTGACTTGATAACAAAAGTGTAAAAAAATTCAAAATTCTTGTCTTATCATACTAATACTTGTAATTATCTGTTTTGCTTTTATTAGGTAAGTATTCAAAGTTAGAAATCTGAACAAAGGATACTGGTAAGTGCGTACAGAAAACTATACTTTGTCGCGGTGCATACCTCAAAAATAATCTATCTATCTAACTTACTATTTAAGTGTTTCAGTTCTTAAATCAAAAATCGTGATGGGAAAAAGACTTAGTGGGGCCGAGTACAGAAAAAGAGCAGGAATTAGAAAAGAAGAACAGAAAGAAGTCAGCCGACAAACAGTAAAAACTGACAATTTTTTGAAAAATGGAAGTAAAACCAGTATTTTGAGTGCGGAAACTTCAAACATAAGTCCTAATACAATTCAATCTGAAGAAGATGAACCGATACATACTCTGCTGTTTGTGACAGTGTGGCAGAAGCGGAATCATCTGTAAGTACAACAATTGAAGATTCGTCTCAGAATCAAACGTCGAGTCTTAACGACGTCGGAATAGTACAAACAATCAAAAGTCTAAATAAAGATCCCGCGCTATGGATAATTGACGATGATCGCGAGGTGAGGCTTTGATCAAAATAAATCTAGTGACTTCTCTAAAAGTGAAATAATATATGCTGATCAGCGTCGTTTTCTGCCAATTAGTATCTTCCAAAGAAAAATGAAAAATAATGAAGTGAAAGATCGAACTTGGTTAGTTTATTCTGAAAGTAACAGATCTTTATATTGTGGACCGTGTTTGGCATTTGGCCCATTGGAGTGTAAAACTTAATTTGAGAACGGAGGATTCAATGACTGGAAAAATGCGGATCATCGAGTAGCTCAGCATGAAAACTCTGTGCGTCATAAATCTAGTATTCTTAGTTTGAAAGATATTGATGAAGAAATACAATAACTGAATGGAAAATATTTCTGATGAGAGTTGTTGCTGTCATGAAGCGATTGTTTTCAAGAAGTCTAGCTTTTAGAGAAAAATTAAAAATTTGAAGATCCACATAATGTAAGTTATTGTAAGGTGTTGGGACTATTAGCGGAATTCGATCCTTTTCTGACCGTACACATTGAACGGTTTATAAATCAAGGATCAGGGAGTACCAGTTACTTATCAAATACCGCTTGCGATGAATTTATTCTCTTGATGGGTCAGAAAATTTCAAAGAAGATTGGAAACGAAATAAAACAGCAAAATATTTTTCCCTAATCATCGATTCAACAAACATTCTTTAAATCTAATAACAAGTACAGCTGCTGAATCTACTATAGAAGATTGTCGCTTTTTCATATTGTTACAGGAAATCTACGTTTTTTTGAAAGCTCGACACAACGCTAGCAAAAACTAATGAATCAAATCGGAAAAGGCAAAAACGTTAAAAGAGTAAATTTGACACGCTGGTCAGCTAGAGAGGATGCATGCAAAAGTTTGAAAGAATCTTGGCATGTAATTCTAAAAACTTTGGAATTAATCAAGGATGCGGTAGGGATATTTTCGAATTTGCAAAAACTGCAAACGGCAGTATCGATTGTTGTATGGAATTATTTTCTGGAGAGAATAAACAAAGTGAATGTTCAAATACAGAGTTCTAATATAGATTTGATCACACAGGATCGCATTAGGGAGAAACTTCTGCGGTTAAAATTTTTTTTTAAAAGTGGGCGTGGTTCCTCTCCTAATAGGTTTAATGTGCATAGCTCCTAAACTGCTAAAGCTATATTATAACAAAATTCACTGAGAACAAATGTTTTTTAGCACCTTTATCTACGGTGTGAAAATGGGTGACAATCCCGCCCACGTCCCATATAACGGTACTGTTAAAAACTACTAAATGCGCGATAAATCAAGCACTAAACACGCCAGAGTCATTAAATTTTAACACAAGGATCGTATGAGCTGACCTTATAGGAGCCGCGTTCATAAGTAGACAATGGGCGTGGCACCGCCCACATTTGGGTGAAAACCCATATCTTAGGATCTGCATAACCGATTTCAACCAAATTCAAATATTTCTATTTTATAGTGCTAAAATGAGCGAAATCGGATTACAACCACGCCTATTTCCCATATAACACCATTTTAAATTCCATATGATTTTTTCACGTTAAAAAACTTTGCGTGAATAATGCGTTTGAAGTATGCCACCTTGTGACCAAAAATTGTCTAAATCGAACCAAAACTATTCCAGTCCCTAGGTACTGAATTTGTTGACCCCAGTGCCTATAGTTGCCTTGTTACCGAAAATATCGGTCAATGTGTAAGACATTTAATTGAAATTCATATAATAAAATAAATAAATAAAACTCTCGATAATAGTATGTTTGTGTCAAAAAATGGGTTCAATCGCATCAATACTTTCTATAGCCCTCATATACCTAATATAAAGATTTTTGAAGTTCCGGGTGACTTTATACCGCAAATATCGGCCAATATGTGAGTTATCTCTATGAAAATGAGAGAGCGTATTTTAATCATAACAAGGTATTTTTGTGCCTAAAATGGATGAAATCGAGTGAAAATTTTACCTGTCCCCCATGTAACTAATATCAGGATTTTCGAACATTCGTCTGACTTTACTCAATATGATTGGTGGTGTGTGAGGTACCTAAATGAAACAGTGGGAGCATTTTATTAGTCTGTGACATGTTAGTAGTATGTAGTATTGTCAAAAATTGATAAAATCGGGTTAATGCTACCCTCTACTTCCATAGACTACTTATAATACTTCTCGTATGTCGGTCAGTGAGTATTAAATTTTTTTTTATATATAAAATGTTATCTATGCTTGAGTATAGCTGAGCAATAAAAAAATTAATATCTTTCTCTATTCCCAATATATATATGATTTCCATCTTTTCTCTTGACTTTAAACCGTTCCGGTTGATCAAAATGTGATATTTTAATGTAATTAAGTGGATAAGTTTTCTTAAAAATTATGTAATATGACGCTTAATTAAAATGAAAATAGTATATACCTTGATCTAAACTTCACACCTTCATATAATGAATTCCGATTCTCTGACGTTTTCCACACAAGCTTATAATATAAAATTTAGCCACTTTGGTCAATTTAATATCACATTCATACTTATGTATATCTCACTTCAAGATGTTTTTTGTTTTTTTTTTTTAAATATAATTTTCGCCGACGCAAACTAAAATATAGCAATAAAACTGATACTAAGTTTATGGCCTTTAATATAAGTCAAGAAGATACTAAATTTGATTGTAATATAATCACACCTGAAGGAATTTCCTGGTATTTGATTCTTACGAATTACAAGAGTATAAAATTCTTGGTTCCGCCCTAGTACCTATTATCGGGTATATATTGACCCTAGCTCCAACATACTTTATGTAAAAAATTCAATGTTCCGTTTGATTTTATATAATCGTAAAATATTAGACATACAACAGTTTAATGCCGAAAATGTGTGAAATCGATCCACGAATTTCCCCAGCATACATGTACTACTTGTGGTATAATTTATTTCGTTAATTTTATAATTCAATGAAATTAAATGGACAGTTTTTCTTAAAAATAATGTGGTTTACCGCTGCATATGAATGAAATTGGTCTAGACCTTTGTTTTAACCTTATAACCCTAATATACTGATTTTCGCTTCTTTCGTACATCAGCAACCTCATATACCCCACATATTAAATTTAACCCCTTTGGTTCAGTTTATATCACATATACCATGTTTGAGTTAAACAGCTTCTTTTTGTTAAAGTTAACATTTCGAAGAAAAAATAGTATCTATCCAAAATAGTAAATCTATGATCAATAACATAAGTTAATAAGATACCAAATAATAATCGAATAATAAATGTTGAATTCTTTCGCAACAATTTTATACTTTCGCAACATATTGCAACATAGTATACATTTGTTCACCAAACGGTTGTTTGCATCACCTAAAACTAATCGAGATAGATAAAGATTTCCATATACAAATATTTCTTCTAATATGTGGTGATAATCAGTGAATAGGTATATTTTCTTAGCCATCATGTTGAACTTATGACAAACTATCTATAATACCCTTCACAGGTGCATTTCTTTTAGAAACTACTATATGTATGACTACATTTGAAAACGTGACTTGCCAACGGTTTGCATCCAACGGAAAGCATTTTGCCAGTTCTTTCTAGCCAGGTTCTTTGCTATAAACAATCTTCTATTCGAATTAAGGTTAGTTATTGAGGTAAATAGATCTTTCAGACATTTACATAAATTTTAATTTTTTAAGCTGATTGATTATTCACATTAATTAATGAAAAACAAAACAAATTATAATATTTATAGAAATTAGAAAATATATAACATATAATAATATTTATTATTCTATAATACTTTTTTATATGATATATAAATTACAATAATTACATCTATGACTTACACTTTATATTATAATACAAACTTAAATTTAATAATATTGAATCTAACATATATATAATATATCTATTTTCTAAAGCTTAAAAATATTCCGTCATGATCACTATATGGTGTTTCATATGTGATACATGAGGTCATTGCAGAATCCATGTTTGTCCATACCCAATCTATTGATGTGTCCTGTTTTGTTGTGGCGACCTTAGCCAATGAAGATTGAAATCCTAACTGTTGCAATCGAGCCTCCAAATCATCAGTTGCTGTTAGGCGACATATGTTAAAGTCACCAAGGACTACTGACGGTTCATTATACTGTTCAGTTATCTGACGGATATTATTTTCCACTTGGTTTCTAAATTCCGGAAGTCTATAGCGGGGGTTCCTGTACACAAGTGATATAAAAACTGTTGAATTGTTTACGTTTAACAGTTGGTAAACGTTTGTTGAACCGTTGTCGTTCCTTGAAAATGATCCTTCTGATAGACCTGGGCACCTATCTTGCTTGTGGTATATTATAAGGCCGTTGGCAAGGCGTCGTCGGGATGATCTTGTTTCTCCATCAAGGCGTGCAGTAACACTGTAGCCTTCTATTTGGAATTCTTCTTGAGGTAAGGCCCATGTCTCGGCAAAGCACAGAATATCAGCAGAACAAATCAGCTTGTCTGATTTAATATCTTCAATATGCTTGTTTATGAATTTAATGTGTCACTATTTAGTGGCCGAAGATCGCCGGAAGACTGGTTGACGGGGAGTGAAAAAACCGAATGAAGGGTTAGGCCCCCAATTCCAAATGCTGCTTTGCCAGTGGGTGCGCAGAGTAACACCTTGGCTGTTTCGGGGTTGGTTCCTGGTACACTATTAGCTCGCAATGTCAACGATTGATATATAGTTGTTATAAGCCGACTCTTGCCCACTCCAGCACCGCCTTCGACATATTCGAAGAAGATTTCCCTTTTACTGACATTGTGCATTACATGAGCAAAGTATTCCCTCTGTTTGCTGTTAAGTGACTGCTGCACCATTGCCAGTAAATGGTCTGTATTGTTGTGCTCTTGAAAAACATTAAAGTCTCCTGTTTGCTCTAAATTCGGGATCTAAAATTTGTGAGGCAGCTCGATCATCAGCTGTTTCTTCCGCTGTGACATGAAGGTTTTCCAAAATCCGTTCTAGTTCGTTCGATGAAAATTTGTCATATTTGAGCTTATTCAGCTCAATTTGCTTCTTGTGTGAATTGCAAATACTCTCGACGTCATTATTTAATAAGTCTGTTTCCTCATTTCTCATGGCGGTTTCTCTGAAGAAATCGGCTCTTGAACTTTCAACGCTAAAACGTTTCCAACGCAGAATAAGGGCTTGCTTCCTTTTCCTTAGAAATCCTGATCCATCCTTTAATGCCATTGGAAGTGCAGCTGTCGTGTCATCCTCGTTCTCTACTTCGTTGTATTCTTCGTTATTATCAGAAACATTTCTGCTTGTTTTGCAAAATCTGAACCATGCTGCAGAATCTGCTTAGCAACCATAGCACCAATTGATCGGGCCTTTGAGAGTAGTGCTCCAGCATTCAATTCAAGTCGAGGCTTTATCATTCTTACTCGGTTGTTTGGATGTGATGTATTTATAAATATTTCCCTATTACTGGCTTCTGATAGATGCAGTCCCAAAATATTATAAGCTGGTTCTTGAGCCGATATTTCCGATCCATTTACAAATTTGTTTCCGATGTGTTGCAGTTTTCTTTTAATGGAGAAATTCCCTGCATTTATTTCCTCCATGGCTTGTCTCAATAATGTTGATACTCCTCTATTGGATTTATTTATATAATTAATGATATATGTAGCTGCAGCAAGCGTATGCGTCCAGAATGAATTGAATATCCACATTTGCTCTATGCAATTTAAGGATATTTTTATTATAGGCATTTAGAAGCCTGTCTGAAAATTTTCTCTTTAGGAAAATGTGTGGCTTTTTTACAGATGAGCGAAGAGCAAGCTTGTATCCTTCATAGTCAGTGTCGATTCGCTCATCCGCCAAAAAATTTTCGAAGCAGTTCAACCGAGTTATTTCTTCCTCTGGGAGATCCGTTAGAGTTAATAGTTCCTGTATTTTTTGGAATTGAGCTTTGTGTTGCTCAATACCTTCCTCATTCTCCAAAGGTAAAAGTATTTCTGTCCGTGGCATCGGC